TCTATAGTCAATACATAATCTCATTATGCCATCTTTCTTCTTTACAAATAAAACAGTTGCTCTCCATGGGGGATACATTGGGTCTAATGAAACCCTTATCAACCAAATCTCATAATTGTACCCTTAATTTCTTCGACTTCTTTGGAGCCATCCAATAAGTTGCCCGTGAAATAGGTGCTGTCCCTGGGATCAAATCAATAAAGAACTCAATCTCCCTATTTGAGGATAATCCCGAAAGGTCTTCTGGAAAGACATCGGGAAAATCTCGCACAACTGATATATCGTCAATTTCCAGCTTAGTGATTTGAGTATCAATCACATGAGCTAAAAATGTATGACAACCCTTTTTGAGCGTTCTCCGGGCATCAAAGACAGATATCACACAAGATGGTAAAATTCTGCGCTCTCCAGTGAGAACAATTTCAAGCTCTCTTAGACCTCTAAATATCACTTCCTTGCACCTCTAAATACCACTTCCTTGCGAAAATAATCAACTGAAACACAATGTTTAGATAGAAAGTGTAATGTCCCAAATTCTAGAAACTCGATGCGTTAAAAAATCTTCTTAATTTGAGCTTTTTAATGTCAACCAAAATAAATTTCAAATAAGGAAAATTTTTAGTTGGAAATATATTATAAAAATACAATGAGAGATAATTGTCTATATAGACTTAGACATTTGATTTTGGAAAAACATTCGGAAGAAAATCAGTAATACCATTAGNTTGGAAAACATTCGGAAGAAAATCAGCAATACCAAGAGCGCATCAGCGAAAAGATAAAAATTGTTTGACCTAGGAACCGTCGACTAAAAATCACGAAATTTTAACAGAGACTATGAAATTCATATACATACATCATATAAAAAAAATTGAGCTCACTTCGATAATTTTTGAAGCACGAAATCATTTTTCAACTATGCTGGACAGATATTTTCGAACTGACTCGTAGCAGTCTACTAAAATGGACATAACTCCTTCTCTAATTATTATTTTAAGGTAATTCCAAAGATCACTATTAGAAGACTCGTAGATGTTTCGAACTCAATGATTTCACTTAAAAATATGCACGGTGCCCTAAGTTATACCATTTTTAATTAGGTAAATAGAATCTGAGATTCAATACAGCAATAAATAAACGTCATATGTAGTCATTCAATTGTTTTTAGGTTATAGTCGACATGCAATGAAAATAA